GTCATCGAGGCTGGCCTCAGCCTCCTAGTAACTGTGATGATAGTCTCGGCCTCGTGCCTGGCTCCTCTTGTCCTGCTGTTTTCTTATTTCTGGGTGCCCTTCTTCTTTCCAGTCCCCTCAGGATTGTCTGTCACTGGAGTCACCCCTGGAGAGGAGGGCAGGGCCTGGGTGCTTGGGGGCGGGCAGTGGCCAGACCAGGGGCCCGGGACATGAGCGCAACTTTCCAAGCTTCTCTTCCAGGCCCCTGTGGTTGGGGAGCTCCACAGAGGGAGGGATGGAGGGCGGGATGAGTCAGCAGGGCCACAGAGCAGGGGGGCAGCTGGGTGGGGGTAGGGATGCCTGGGGTTCCCCGGGGCCAAGGAGTCTGCTAAGGCCCTCTGGGTGTCTTGACTTCTGTGGGCGTGGGTAGTGAAGGGATCAAAGGTCCCTGGTAGCTCCTACCCTAGTAGGAGGCAGAGAGAGCATTATGTAGGGCTGGCCGCATCAGGCCTATCCTCGGGTTTACTTGTTTGCTTTTTGAGACAGCGCCTCATGTAGCCCAGGCTAGCCTTGAATTCGCTGTGTAGCTGAAGATGACTTTAAACTTGTGATTCTTCTGCCTCTGCCTCCCAAGTGATGGGATGATGACATTTGCTTGTGTGGAGATGCTCTGTTGATATGAGTCTGTGTGGGTCCGCAAGAGGCGTCAGGGTCGCTGAATCTGTGTGCATGTATGTATACCTGTGCGTATTTGTGCCGGTATGAATGGGAATCAGGGAGCCTTCAGGTAAGCATGGTATGTATAGCACACCGATGAATCGGTGTGTGTTAGTGTGAATGCCTGTGCGTTACGCAATGTGAATGGGTTCTGTGTTCTCCAGAAAGTGCGCTAGTGTGTGTACCTGAGTGTGTGTTATTCATCAGGCTTGTGGGGTTGTGTGTCACTTTTGAGGGTTCTGTTTTCTCCTTTCTGGTGAGTCTCTCTCTAAGCAGTCAAATCTATAACAGCTTCAAGGGAAGAGCCTAGGAGTCCCCTTGGGTAGAGATTTCAGAGAGAAACCCTGAACAGGTGAGCACAGGCAAGGGTTGTGGACGAAGGCAACTCCCCTCAAGAAACGGGGTAAAATCTGCCATCCTCCCCGAGTTTTATTCTCCCTCCACCTTTCCAAAAAGAAGCAAAATCATTAGAACAGAAGGCAGGTTCCAGATTTAACCCCTCTAGTCTAGGGAAGCCCACCCCGAATCTCTCAAGGGAGTGGTCCCTGCGGTTCAGGCCAGTGCTGGCACTGGGAGATCAGAAAGGCACCATCCACCCCTTCAAGAGACGTCCATCTCAGAGCTCAGCGTCTGGGTGGCCATGGGCGGAGGCTGAGGGGCCCCCAGGGTGGTGGGGGTGGTGGATAGAAACCAGATGCCTAGGGGGTTTATACTGGAAGGGCCAGAGCCGCAGCCTCTACCCGCCCCTGCCACATGGCGCCTCTGCCTGGGCTGCCCCACCCCCTGGGAGGCTGGGCAGAAGGAGGCCTGTGAGGGTGGAGGTAGGTCCTTGGGAAGGGATTCCAGTTGCTGCCCTCCAGCCCCTGAGGGCACTGGAGAGGTGGGTGGGGAGCAGGACCCAGGAATACCAGGTCCACAGCTGGCTTGCGATACTGTCTTAATTGGAGTGTGAGGGAAGTCAGAAACCAGAGCCTGAGGGCAGTGGGTGAAGGCAGCAGCCCCTCACCTGACTGACGCAGGTCCTTGTCCAGGAGGCTTATTGGTGTGCAGGGCTGCGCACCTGGGTTCCTATGTCAGGCTCTGGCTCTTGCACCTCCCTGGGACCTCGCTCCTCCTCCTTTTCATAACATTCCTTGGATTTAAATACTTTCCTTCCCGCAGGGAATGGAAGCGGTGACCTTTGCCTCATCTACCGCCTTGTGGAGTCTCTCCTTTCTCCTTTTCCTCCATCCCTCACCCTTCCATTCTCTTTCTTATCCAATCCAACTTTGGATTTGAGTCCAACTCCCTCTCTCACTTTGTCTGTTGCTAGAGTCTAGATTTCCCTCCTGCCTCAGTTTCCTGATTGTCCTATCCTCTGTTCTCTAACGATACTGTAATTGCTGGAAAGCTTCCTTTTTCTTTTTCTTCTCTCTTTCCCTCTCTTTTTTCTTTTCTTTTTCTTTTT